TGGAGAAAGTTTTCTGGATCCTACCAGCTGAAAACATTTCTTTTCCCAGCCTGCGTACAGGGTCTTGTTCATTTGAGGATGTGCGTTGTGGCTGGCAGCTGCTTTACATAAGCAAAGCAAAGGACTCTGTGAAAGGAAATTTGGATTAAGTATGATTTGAAATATGCAGCTTTAGGAAGATTGATACAAAACAGATTGACTCTGTAGTCAGCTAACACTAGATGTTCATAGCAGAGGCTTCCTTTTTTTACACACATGGGTATTCCAGGGACTGCAGCAGTATGTGCACTACATAGCTCCAACTCCCTGCCAATGACTCTTGAATACTATGAACCTGAAAGAGGTTTCAGTTGAATTTTGGTGCTTTAATGCCTTTGAAGAGAGGTTTGACGAAATGTTTATCTTAGGCATATGTACCAGATGAATAATGGAAATTTCTTTCTCCTCTCATCCATCGCATCGCAAAAGAATTGACCTGGATGAGACTTTGGGGATCATCTAAGCCAGCTTTTGCGCTGAAGGAGAAACAGTTTACCTGAAGATATTTATTTAGTGTATTCATAAGCTACCTCCTGAAAGAGATTTCATCTCTTCCTAAGGTAATTCACTCCTGTGCTGTCTCTCCTTCTTGAGTGACTTTAATTGTCTGGTCTCTGAACAATTTCCATTGCTGAATATTATTGCAGTTGCTGCCAGGCCTCCAAGATGGTTCTGCTCTACTGATATATCTGTCAGTACTGATTAATGTCAAGTGTGGCTGTGGAGTCCCGAATCCATCTGTATCTGTTTTATTACACTCCAGGTTACCTTTTTCCAACAGGAAGAATTACCAATAGACTATGTATTCATGAGTTGAAAAAATGTCTATCAGTGATTCAGGCTACAGACTGACAAGACATCTGTCTGCTCTATTTCCCCCACAGATGTTGACTTTTTAGAAGGAGGAAGAAGACAGGATAAAATGAAAAATTTCTTGCTCTGATAACTTCTATAGCTCTGACAGATCATTTCATGCCAGGTCATCCTCAACTTACGGCTTAGTGTTATACCCCATTTTATACAACATTGCACAGTGTGTCCCAATAACCAGATTCATCACAGAAATTAGACCTGTAACTGCTTTTGTTTATGATGTCAAAGAATTAGAGCTTAAGGGAGTGATTACTTCCTTCTATTTCGCACTTATGAGGCCATATCTAAAATACTGTGTCCAGTTTTGGGCTCGGAGTAGAAGGAAGACTGACAGACTGGACTGAGTCCAGCAAAGAGGCAGCAGGAGGGTTTGGAGGCTGGAGCACATGTAGGAGTCACTGAGGGAGCTGAGTTCACTTAGCCTTCAGAAGAGAAATGTAAGGGCAGCTCTAGCTGCAGTCCCCACTTAGCTAACGGGAAGTTACTGGGAAGACAGAGCTAAACTTTTTGCAGAGGTGTACAGCAAGAGGACAAGAGGAACTGGGCACAAATTGTAGCAAGGAAAATACAAGGAGAAAAATGAATATGAGAATATAGGGAGGAAAAAACTTTATATAAGGAGAATATAAGGAAAAAACCTTCACAGTGAGGGTGGTTAAGCGCTGGAACAAGCTGTCCAGAGAAGTTGTGGCATCTCCATCTTTGGAGTTCAGAACTCAGTTGGACAAACTGCTTTGTGATTCTGTGATAGACAAGAGAAATACTATTCCAAAATTATCTTAATGAGAAAAGTAACTAAAAAGGAAAAATTATTCAAATTGCATGTCTGCAGTCCATATTCAAAATCACTGGCATGAGAGCTTCTTGTTCTTACCTGCAATTTGTGGAAACAAAGTACACAGGCATTCCAGGTTGGAGCATGGTGACAAAACATGACTTCTCTGAGGCTTAAAAAAAAAAGTCAGCAGACATTCATTCATTCATTCTCAGTTCAGGAACTGTGGCATACTAGTGTGGTATTTCTCAAGGAACATCGCTTCATATCTTTTCAGATGGGCAAATTTGAACCAAGCCATTCACCAGACCGATGACTGTGATTCTCACTTTTCATGTGGCACATGATAGTTAGTAACTATTTCGCAGAGGTGGTACTTTGCCTCTTTCAGGGTGATGAATTATTCAGATACCTAAAAACCTTCCCTGGCTTCCTGTCTTCATTCCTTTTGCTGTTCATTCATTTTCGTTTTTGGTAAGGATGTAGTAAATCTCTTATCATCATGTGTTGTTTTTTTTTTTTTTTAATGAAATTGATAATGTATTTTGTACAACTGTTTTGATTCTCTTTTAATCTTTGTAACCAAGACACAGATTTTTAAATGATGATTTTATAAAAGTACTCAATTATTGGTAACAAGAGAATAAGTGCTTGACATCAGTTGGTGGTAATCACTTTATGTGATTAATGTTTTAGTCATAGGCAGAAGTTTCTGCACAAAGACGATTTAAGCTGAAATATTACCTATCTATTAAAGGACTGTAGTTCTTTTTTCTCAAATGGTGTCTCACTTATTTAAATTTGCTTCATATTCTCTTTTTTTAGAGAATTCCAGAACTTTTCCCATGAAAACGGGTTTGATAGCTACAATTGCACATTATCACAATTTATTATACAATATTAAACTAGATTATTAACATACTGAATAGTGAAAAGCATTGTATCTTCCGAAATATGCCTATGTTCTGATGGGCATTTATTATGTCACACTGCCCTTTAGTAGTGTACGCTGTTGTCCTGTGCGTCAAAAAAAGTAATCTAGGCCATGTCATTAGTGACCTGTAAATGACTGGAGAGAGACAGTCAAATCAGACATCTATTTCAATACGATAGTTGAGAATGCCTCTTAAGAGCAGAAAAGAGTTTTGATTTGTTTTGATCCGAGGGCTGGAGCACCTCTGCTATGAAGACAGGCTGAGAGAATTGAGGCTGTCCAGCCTGGAGAAGACTCCAAGGAGACCTTCTAGCATCCTTCTAGTACCTAAAGGGGGCCTACAGGAAAGCTGGAGAGGGACTTTTTACAAGGGCATGTAGTGATAGGACAAGGGGCAATGGCTTTAAACTGAAAGAGGGAGATTTAGATTAGATCTAAGGAAGAAATTTTTCACTCTGAGGTTGGTGAGGCAGTCGAACAGGTTGCCCAGAGAAGTTGTAGATGCCCCATCCCTGGAAGTGTTCGAGGCCAGGCTGGATGAGGCTTTGACAACCTGGTGTAGTGGAGGGTGTTCCTGCCCATGGCAGGGGCGTTGGAACTAGATGATCTTCAAGATGCCTTCCAACCCTAACCATTCTATGATTCTATGGCTTTCCAGATAGGAAGTAGTTTAAACAAATAGTCTAATATGTCATGACTTCCACAATACTTTGCCGCTGTATTTAATGTTGGATTTAAGTGACACATGACAAATAGGGCAAATAGCTTTGTGCCCAATGCCAAAGATGTTTACAAATGTTTAAAGGCAGTTTTATTTTCACTTTTTTTCTGAAAAAGGGCATGCAAGATTTGGCTTTCTCTCTTAGTATTAATTTCATAGGGTTCAAAAGAGTAACAACCTACTGAAGAGTTACCAAAAGTTTTAACATAATCTGTATTGGAAAGACTTCCTTTTGTGTCACTTGCTTGCCACTCACTGCTGTGTAACAAAGAGCCATTCTATCATGTTTATTCCGGATGAAACATATCAAATTATTTTCCCTTATAGATACTAAATTTGGTCAGGTGGTAAAAAAAGTATTTGTTCAGGAAAAAGTTGGAGCACGCTGCAGCAAGGGTGCTTGCCGTGAGCGTTGAGCTCTGAGTTGCAGTGCTGCATGCAGGGCTCCTCTGCATTTTCCATGTGACCTTTAGAAATGTGCAAAAAAAAAAAGGGTTGAAATCTTTTCTTTTGATCCATTGGAGAAAATCAGAGCTTCTCAAAACCCATGAATCTAAGGCAGGGTCATTAACCTTATGTATCTGTAGCTCTGAAGTATTAAATCAGAGGTTTTCTGATAGGAAGAAATTTTGGAGTGAATTCCTGGCCCTTCTGAAATCAGTAAATGTTCTGTCCTTGGCTTTAGTGGGGACAGAAGGTCATCCTGGTTATCTGTCCTGCTAAGCAGTTTCAACTTCTGCTATGGCAGCAGTGGTAGAAGACTGTCTTTATCAGTATTCTACACAGCTCCAGAAATATAAAACGTGGAAACAAAAAGTTAAAGATAACTGTATCCACAGTCCTGTTCCTGTTGTTTGGACTCCTGTACCCTCTGTGCCTGAGTGCTTTTAACCATACTGCTGCTGAGTGTTTACCTTCTGCGTGGGGAATTGCAGGTGATTCACGTCTTACGAGATCTCACATAGAATCAGTCTCGCAGGTCTGGGCTGTGCAAGTGAAACAGCGTTTCACAAAGTGAATGTAAAAGCTGTGAAAGGAACGCTGGAGAGAGCTATGTGGTGCTTGAGGTGACAGTCCTTCTAGGAGCGGAGCTTGCTAACGCTTTGACGTGTGTGTTTCAACTCCAGTGTAGCTAAAGCCCTCCAAATAGTGTCCTGGGTGCTGGCAAAGGGTGAGACCATGCTTGCTAAAGTCTGCTGGATTCTTAAGTCGGGTGCTATGTGGAGGGGAAACCAAAGGCCTTTCACATCTTGGATGGTTGTTTTTCTTCTTTATTAGGATGGATGTCTTGTTGCAGGTGAAGGAGAAAAGCCAGAAATATGTCAGGACAATCTTCTGGTTTAATATTCCTTAGAAATAAGTGGAAGGAAAATTCTAAATATATTGTGCGTTTCGTTTGTTTAGACTTGAAGTTTTTGAGTGTAGTGTATTTTTACCTATGCTGTAACCAGGTCCTGAGAACAAGAGGGCTTTTTTCATTCCTTATCTTTCTTTGTTCATTCTTCCTGCATTTCTCTTAAACTACCTGCAGTCTATGTGGTTGGGTTTTCACTTGTTCGTTCTTAAATACGGTAATATTATCTGGACTGTTGTCTAGGGTGCATTTCTCCTAAAAGAAACTAAATAAATAGATATGTCTTCTTTCCTGGTAAGCCTCGTGCAGGAAAAGGCGGCTGAATGATGAATCGCTTCATGGTTCTGGCGGTACTGCTCCCCCTGAGGACTTGTTACACTACGTACTCACAGCAAGGTAAATGTCTGAACATTTTATTATTTATTTGGAAGCAATCTACAACAACGGAGGCTTTGGACTTGCTCGTTTGCAAGTCTCCTGTGATTAAGCAACATGTTGCATGCTTAATCAAATTATTCTCTTTGGTAAGGTGATGAAGCAACTTGTATAATTTCCTTTTGTAACCCCATCATGCAAAATTGGCTGTTGAATCAATAACTTGCAATGATGTGTATTTGTTTATCTACTCCCCCTCTGTCTCATGTGGTTTTGATCTGTATGCTGTCATCTTCAAATAATTTATTTCCTCTATGACAACTTTTATGTTTTTCTACCTCTTCACTTTCTCTTTTTTGTTTGTCTCATCCATGAAAACTTCAGCACTTCTCTTGGGTCTTTTCTGATTGTGCCTCAAGATTCCAGGAGCGCATTTTTATTTCTTACACTTCACATATGTATCCAATACAAAGAAAAAAAAAAGACAAATAAGCATATTTGGAGGGAGCAAAGTTGCATATAAGGATAACTTTCCAGAATGCTGTGTATTTTAAGGTAAAAGTACTACTTGGACACTTGCTGCTGACAATAACATTGGGCATGACTCCATTACAGAAAAAGAAGGAATGAATATTTTTAGTTTAATTTCTCTGATCACCATTAAGAAGGAAGAATTTACCGGGCTATAGTGTGCATTATAGAAGTTGTATTGCCTTAATTAAGTCAGTGAAGAAGGGAGAGTTATGGGGTTTTTGTATAAATGTACTTGTTATCATACTGAAGGGGGTAACATTTATGTTTTGGACTTTTTTGCCTCTTTTCAACCTTGAAATTCATGTGTTCACACTCCATTCACCCAAGGTGCAAGTTCCTCAGTTTCGAGACTCTATTACCAATGCTCCTAGAGTGGCAAGACTTTGCAATGCAGACAAGTCCAAACAGTTACTGCATTACAGTAACTTGGTTACTTGTTTTCACATGCAGTTGTTCAGGAATAAAATTAGTCTCTATTGTTAATCATAAAGCTATTCATATAGTCTTGAGTTAGATTTCAAGTTAAAACAAGCCTTAAGATGCCTTGATCCTTTAACTTTGGTAGGAGGGGAATCTTTTAACTGTGAATGCTAAAAATATTTCTACATGTGTAAATTATACTACAAAAGTCTTTTAAGTCACATGTTGTAACTCAGTGGTCTTCAAGATCTTAGATATATCCTTAGCTATGTTGTTTCTTCTGTTTGCTGGTACTGTGTATAAGCCCTGACTGGTGATCTAGACTCTCTTGCACCAGGCTCTGAGGAACTCAAAATTGCGTGACCTCTGAAGTGATGTGTCATCTGACTAAAAGGAAGGAGATAGTGGAGAGACACTTGTACAGATGGAGAAAGAACATAAGCTAATGAGACCTTTGTTTTTCTGTCAAAATTAAAATTAAATTTAAATTTAAATTAAATTAAAATTAAATGTGGCAGGTGAAAATATTCTCCATGTTGAGAAAAGAGATTAGATTTTAGCTTGGACAAAAAAAAAATAGATGTAGAGGAGAGAGGGAAGCTCATCATCAATGCAATAGGCACAGTAGTGACACTTGCCATAAGAATCGGCTAGAGAAGGAGCAGAAAAGAGGACAGGGAAATTCAGAAGATACACAGGGGTTTCTTTTAATGTTGCACCCTGAAAAAGGGAGGGGTTTCTGCCAACTGGCTGACATTTTTCAGGCATATTTTTTCCCTTTCCCTGAGAGTCTTACTTTGCAGTTGTGAGTTTCATTGAGTGACTAGCCAGGTCCCTTCCTTTAGGTTTGTTTATTTGTTCTGGGCCCATCTGTCTCACCCAGTTGTTTCAGCACTGCAGAAGGAAAACAATGGAATGGCAAGGGTCCAGAGCTTTAGATCAGCCACCTATTTGCATATGTGAAATGAGATCCCTTCAGAGGCTTGGTAGGTGGTGCTTCAGGTAATAAGATGATGAACGTACAGGTAAGGTTAACTGAAAAATGAGCAGCTAAGATTACATACTGGAGAGGAACAATGTTACAGTCAGTTCCTTATTGTAAGTGGGATTTTAACAGCCTTTATCTTGTTTTTGTGGTGAAAATCTGTGGAGTCATAGAACGGTTTGGGTTGGAAGGGACCTTTAAGATCATCTGGTTCCAACCCATCTGCCACGGGCAGGAACACCTTCCACTAGATCAGGTTGCTCAAAGCCTCATCCAACCTGGCCTTGAACACTTCCAGGGAATGTGGGGAGATGAATTGTGTCATGTCTTACCCTTCCCAAAATAACATGGTTTCTTTTCTGTGCCCTGGTCAGTATCAGCATTCTGACCCTGTTGTTTCTAACAAGCAGAAGCATCTTGGAAAGCAAATGTAGCAAAAGAAAATCCTTGTTACTTGGCCATTTCAGTTCCCTGGCTTTGTTAACAACCAGATCAATTTTAGGGTTTTGTTTTGGGTTTCGTTTGTTTATTTTTCAGGAAGGAGAGAAGATACAGACAGTGAGCACATTTAATCTCTTCCAGAGTTCTTTTTTTCTGGGAGGAGTGTCAGAACAGACATCTAAAAAGAGGGACCATTTGTAGGGTGATCTGCAGTTTTCAGCAGGCTAGTCTTCTAAGGGGCCTTTCCTTTCCTATCACCAAAAGGAACTTCAATCTGACTTTTAAACTTCAATTTACTCTGGGAATTAACTCCAGATCCACAAAAGGATGGAGGTGCCATTGTAACTAGGTGTCTAATTCTAGCAGAAGAATCCACAGCCCTGACTGAAATACTGAAGTTCTGTGTAGAGCAACCAGGAAAGTGCCTAAAACTAGACTGGCATCTGAGCTAGCTAGTGGAGGGAAACTCTTAAACTATCCTGTTCAAATACTTGATTTGCCTTAACTAATTTAGTCTTAATTAGGTCAGAGAGCAAAATTGAGCCTAGATTTCTGCCCTAATGATGAGAACGCTTGCTGGGGGTTGGGATTCCTTGAGATTCAGTCCCTGTTAATATGTTATGTTGTTCCTGTTCATAAAACTATAAAGGGATGGACCAATATTCTCATAAAATAGCTAGTAAATTGGGGGCATAAAGAAATTAAATAACATACCCGATGTCATGATGGGAAGCTATTGAGTAGATTCAGGAACTTCATTCCAGCCTGCTGATGCCTTAAGATGAAAGATAGTCTTTGCTTTTGATATCAACAGCGTGGGTCTCGATCACTTTTTTTTTTTCTTTCCCCCTTTCAGAACTCTCTGGTGTGGAACCTATCTTACCTCTAACCACTATTGTTTCAGATCTGCTTTGCAACTTGGTCATATTTGAAGGACTAAATCATATGTAAGCTTAATATTTTGTGTTCTTTTTGTGCTCCTAGAATCCATTGTATTTCCAGTAACATTTCTTAACGTTTCCAAGGATTTGGCTCTTCAGCGGCTGCTGGTGGAATGGGATGTTGGCAAGTCAGCTCATGATGCTGAGCTGGCAATGTCTTTTGAAATACAAGTCCATCGAACAGATGTAGCTACTACTGTGTGGACAGTAAGTGTATTTTAAAAATAAAGTTACATTAGCTGTTTGCAATATAAAGGAAACTAAAGGAAAACCAAATTTTCAGATGCTTATGCACATAGGTTTGCTGTATAGGTTTATGATTTACAACATAGTATTTACAAAACTGTACTAGAAATACCTCCATATTTCTCTAGATACCAGACTTGGTCTATTATTATGCCCAGTTTTTGAGTGAAAAAAAAAAATTGGCTCAGATGAAGAAGTCTTTTCCACCCGTGCAGAATGTAAATATGCCTTGTATACCCTTATTGAGAGATTGTGGTGGGCAGACTTAGGAGATCTGATTTTAAAGGCCTCTGTTTCCCTTTCAAGGTGCAGGTCCCCTGAGCAGCCTCCTAGAAAAATCCCTTCCATTGCTGCTAACGGCAGTCTCTTTTGTAGCGTGGTTACTACCCTTCACTGAGGACTAACTGAGCGTGAGTCATGTTGCTGCAGCTCCTCTCACCTTATGAACCAAATAATAGTCTCAGTGTGAGTGAAGCCTCGTAAGCCTTGTGCTTGGCCCTGTTACCAACTACCTTACACCCAGCTCTTCCAGTTAAGGAAGAAGTAGCAATGTCTCTTTTGCAAAGTCCCTAAACCAGCCAAATTTTCTGAAGAGGTGGAGATCATCCAAGTCGTAGGCTTACATCTGCTCCTGATGTTTTCCCCAGTTCGTGACTTCAGTGTGAGAACGTTTGTCCCCACAGAAAATTTTCTCTCCTTTGGATCTAACAAAATCTTTTGGAAACTAAATGCGTGTTTTGGGGATGTTATAATCCATTATGAGTCATCTGCTGGTTGAACTATGGAATAATATGAAATACATGTGTTAAAACTGGAAAACTGCTCTAGGTCATTTACAGCTATTTATGAGAAAGTGAACCCTTCTCTACTTCACGTTCTTTTCTGAAACCAGAAGTCAATAAAATAAGATGGGCGCTGTTAAGAATCATGACTCACTCTGATCAGCCAAGTTGGTAGTATTTTGTCTCTGAGTTTGAAGAACATCTTCATTGCAGATGGGCTCTATGCAGTTCAGAAGATTTGGACCACTTTGATACTTGGGGTAGGACTTTTAACACACCATGAGTAGGTCTAACCCCGAAGCCAGAAACTGGGGCCATATAGCTAGAAACAATTTTTTTTTTTTTTTTAATATCTTTCCAACAAGCTCTTATTTACTTGCTGGAAGAAAGAAAGTTTTTCAAATCCAAGGACGTAGTCTGTTCTGTTACTCATAATAAACACAACAAGCGAAATAAACAGGGTATTTTTTTATGTCACTACCACACTGGAATATATTTACTTCTGTTTTTCTGAGGAATGTGTCCCAATAAAGAAACTCTGTGAGTCTGCTCGTGCCGAAGCATGGACAGTCTATATAATAACTTCCATAGGAGTGGCTACATTCTTCAGTGCTGTAACTGCAAAATTGAATTGTAAACTGATTGCAGAGTTTTTCCTCAGAGTGGTGATATTATGAATGAGCAGGTGTTGCTGACAGAAAGCAGTAATGGAGAGCAGTTTTCTGGCTGTGTGAGTCGAGGGCTCTGGTACAGCTCATACAAGCAGCACAGATCTATATGCTGAGAATCTGATACGGTTGCTTTAAGAAGTACTGAAATATATGTTCTATTCTAAAATATATTTATAATTACAGGTGATTAATAGAACTTTTTTAGCCATTTTTTCCTGCTTCTTATGGGCTCTCATGCCAGGGGAGATTCACACTTGGGGTAGCTTTTCATCTGTGTCTGTGTGACTGCATGGTGCCCTGGTTAGTTTGAGTGGCTGTGCTGTGTATTGGTGCAGCTCATTTAGTGCCCAGGCAGGCCTCAGTAGGTACCTGATGAGAGAAATTTGCAAGAAATCTCTTAGAGAGCAGCAGAACTTTTTATATTTTTCACTGTTTGTCTGCATTTATATAATTCAATGTAAAAATGTTTGCCAAATTACAGAGCATTTAGCTCTCATGATTTTTGAGATCCATTTTATATTTTAGGCTGTCCTTCTTCTATTCCCTTCATGGAGCTCTTAACAGTTCGGTTGTATTTTTTCGTTTCTTGCATGTGCACATTACAGCAGTCAAGCATTTTGGGGAAACCATCAGATATTTTCCTACTCTGCCTGCCATTGATGGTAGTACTGTCCTCAGATGGTGTGCCTCAGCGCTACAATTAGATATCCTCTGCATAAATCCTTACTGGCCAGTGCAGATTCCTGGTGTAATTCAGAGCCAGGGATGTGTAACCCAGAGCATTAGACAAATAATCCACTGAAAGTCTCTGAGAGCAAATCCATTTCATGAGAAGCAGGGCCTGACTCACAACTGTGTTGTCAGAATAAAGTAATCTTGCCAGCACGTCAGTCACTCTACCACTGCTACTACAGATTTGTAAGCAGTTACTTAGTTTACTGGTTAGTTAGTGTGAGATCACATGTAGTGAGTGGGATTTCAGAGGTTCATTTTTCAAAAACATTTTTCTCCTTTAAGCTTTCTCTCTCTGTCACTGCTTTTGATTGTGCTTCCAAAGTGTCTACACATTGCTGTGTTTTCAATACTTTTCCTTACTGGCCTTTGTTTCTAGGAGTTTCATAACATTACGCTTGATAAATCAAGAAAGCCTCTTCATTGGATATGGGATTCAGACCTACCTTTGGAGTGTATGTCACACTCAGTGAGAATCAGGAGCAAAGCAGAAGCATCACAAATCTGGAGTCAGTGGAGTCCGTGGGAGACTGTCCTGGGTAAGCAAAACAATATTTTTCCATATTGGTTTTATTTTTTCCAGTATGAAGCTAGATTGTAATTCACTGGTGACTTTAACATTAAAGTTCAATTCAGAAGAGATGGCATCAAATCAAGAATCCATTTAGAACTCTTTCATCTCTAAGCACTAACCAACTCTTTTTTTTTTTTTTTTTCCTGGCAATAATAGCAATGCTTCCGCCATAGTTTTAATTTGTGGACTATCTTCCTAAGCTAGTAGGCCAAAAGTTTTAGAGCTTTTCTTGCTCATACATTAAAACAATGCATTACATGGAGTGGCATGGGATCTTGGATAGGCTCTAGCATAGCCTGTCACCCATCAGACAGAGCCCTGGCCCGGAGGAGAGGAGAGGAAACGCATAGCTACAGCTACATCATCATGTGTTGCTTTTGCCTGGGGATCATAGCTTTGATTAGTATTAAAGAAGCAGAGAGAGAAGAGCAGGTTAGCTCCTTATGTCACTTGGAATGAACTGCTGTGAATTATACGAGAGTAAACAGGGAGTGAACCAATAATGTAATAAATGATATCACAGACACCATGTTTTTTCAGATTATAATGTCTTACTATAACAGTTTGGTTTCCAGAGAATTTGGTTTAAACAAAATATGTAACTGCTTTAGAAAACTATCTTTTTTAGAAAACTATCACGACTAGAGTGATTTTGTAAAGAAATACTATTCTTGTTTGGAGCAGCAAGGGCTTTTAGTTATGGGAGACATCACGGGTAGTAGCATCACAGGTCTGTATACATGGATTATGGCACATAATCATGCAATCGTAGAATCATAGAATGGTTTGAATTGGAAGGGACCTCTACAGGTCATCTAGTCCAGCCCCTTTGCAATGAGCAGGGACACCTTCCGCTACACCAGGTTGCCCAAAGTCTCATCCAACGTCGCCTTGAACACTTCCATCGATGGGGCATGCACAACTTCTGTGGGCAACCTGTTCCAGTGCCTCACCACCCTCACTGTAAAAAACTCCTTCCTTTTGTCTGCTGAGAATCTACCCTCTTTTAGTTTAAAAACATTACCCCTTGTCCTATCCCTGTAGGCCTTGCTAAAAAATCTGTCTCCCATCTTTCTTATAAGCCCTCTGTAAGTATTGAAAGGCCACATTAAGGCCTCCCCAGAGCCTTGTCCAGACTGAACAACCCCAACTCTCTCAGCCTTTCGTCACAGGAGAGGTGTTCCACCCCTTCAGTCAATTTTGTGGCCCTCCTCTGGACACGCTCCAACAGCTCCATGTCTTTCCTGTGCTGAGGACCCCAGAGCTGAATGCAATATTCCAGATGGGGTCTCACAAGAGGAAAGTAGAGGGGCAGAATCACCTCCCTCGACCTGCTGGCCACGCCTCTCAGGATGCAGCCCAGGATACGGTTGGCTTTCTGGGCTGCGAGTGCACATTTCGGGCTCATGTCCAGCTTTTCATCCACCAGTACCCCCAAGTCCTTCTCCTCAGGGCTATTCTCAATCCCTTTATGCCCCAGCCTGTATTGATACTGAAGGTTGCCCCGACCCATGTGCAGGACCTTGCATTTGGCCTTGTTGAACCTCATGAGGTTCACATTGGTCCACTTCTCAAGCTTGTCCACGTCCCTCTGGATGGCATCCTGTCCCTCAGGCGTGTCAACCGCACCACTCAGCTTGGTATCATCTGCAAATTTGCTGAGAGTGCACTTGATCCCACTGTCTATGTCACTGATGAAGATATTAAACATTACTTGTCCCAGTACGGATCCCTGAAGGACGCTACCTATCACTGATCTCCTTCCAGACATTGAGCAGTTAACCACTGCTCTCTGGATTTCATAGATTTCATAGATTTCTAGGTTGGAAAAGACCTTAGAGATCATCCAGTCCAACCGTCCCTAATCCCCATTAAACCATATCCCTAAGTAGTTCATCCACCCTATTCTTAAACACATCCAGGGATGGGGACT